TTATGTTTTTTAATGTTGTTCACTTAACTATCATTGTATATATGTTTCAGTTAAGGCAATATCAGGTTCAGTTGCCTTCTATTACTGTTTTGTTCTTCTCTTCTCTTCTGTTTTCTGCATTAATGGCTGCATGCCAAACTGTTTCTGCTTTACTCTTGCAATGCTCACTGATATTGAATGTTAAGCTTAGAATAGCTGCTGACATCAATATCTATTATGAATCGGGTTCAGAACTACAGCTTTCGTAGGCCTAATCTTACACGGTTTTCTAAACAACTTTGTGAATATGGTCTGAGCTACATCAAAATGAATAAATCCAACTCGCACAAAAGGTTATGTTTAATGAAACAATGGGTTTTTAACACAACAGATCAACTTATAGTAAATAAGGAAGTAGAAATTAACAACTGTGCTAACAAAGGCAAGCCGGTGGCAAATCTTACATGTAATTCCAACTTTGGCATCAATGGACAAACCTGAGAACATCTGCTATCCACAAAAGGTCAAGTTGGGGTATGAAAACTTTTAAGATCAATAAATGTCTAGGATCATAATGTGTTGGTAACCTCCCCAGAATCAACTCAAGCTGTGCAATCAAGTCAGAAATGGAAAACACACACCGAATCAAATATGAAAAAGCTAGGAAGTCAGTTCAACTATGTGAAACTACAAGAAAGATGTTTTCAAGTGTCTCAAGACCAAAACCATTGATCTGCAAGTGATAATATGTGACAGCATTTATGTAAATTCAAGCATTCTAGGAGATGACAATTAGATAACAAATTCTGAAAATGTTCATCTGATTTCAAATCCACCCACTCAAGAACCAAGGTTGTCAAGGAATTGGAACCAAGGAGTATATATTTTATTTGTATACCAAACTATTTGCAATGAGAAATCCCCTGGTAGTGAACCTAGACAGTTTTACAGGCAAAGATGGATCCTTCGGAAGAATTTTGTGGTCAGATTCCACATGAAATCTTAGCCCATAAAATTAGATTCTCTGTCAGCTTTTTCATCTATCACCATTCAACATTTGGTATCCGCAATGACCTTTTCTGCTTATCTTCAGAAATATGGAGACAGCTTGATCCGATATGAAATAATTGGAGATACATATGGAAGCAGTGTTTTTTTGCTAGGCTATATGTAAAGAATCCTTCAACCTTTTAAATTGCATAAAAACCATTGTTCCTGATAAACAACACTTTTTTGTCTCCGAAAATGATAGATGGGGATGTTTGCAAGATTACAGTGTGGAAAAGATGGGGAGAGCTCATGGCCACTCACCTCAAGAACATTCTCTACCTTATCATCTTCCCCCAATTCCCACTATTCTGACCAGATTCAATTTCAGTGAGTTCCACAAATGTTGATTTCTTTCACATCTAACGGCCCCCCAACCTGTCAAAGAGCCACAATTTTTCTAAACTAGCTGAACATGCAGAGCCTTTAATATAAATAGTAGGTTGGCTTCAGATTGCCTATTTAACCACAACAAAAGGACGTCAGCTGTTCTCTGGAGTTCCCCTGACCACTTCACTAGAGGTTTGCTGGACCCTTAACAGGAAGAAACCTGACCTACTGAAGTGTTTGGGGGAACTCCTGTTGGCACCTGACAATGTAGAAAGACCAGGGTTGGCAGATAATCTTCTGACTTCAGCTTTTGCCATCATCTTTACATCCCATGCATCAGCCATCAGGAATTCAGGATTTCTTACACTAAGTCAGGCATTGCTGTTTTTCATGGAATTATAAGGGGAGAGGAAATGCCATGCCATTGGCCCTGACATTTCCTGTTCCTAGTCGCATTTTACTAAACTAGCATTTTGCATCCAACATCTTATCCTTTGAAAATTGAGCACTTAACAAGAATCAAGTTGACAGTTTTTTACTATATGTGGTGTTTACAGAATCAGCAGTTCCGCAGGTGGACGGTCTTCATCTTTAAGATGTTCGAAGAACCTCCACATTCTCATAGCAGCCTTTATGGCACAAGCTTGACAACTCCACTCTAACGCCAATGAATGCTGCCATAGAATCATTATACATTCTTATCATTTTTGAGAATAAATCAATGGATGCTAATGCTTACTGTGAAAATTGGACTTAGTACTTTAAGTTCTGATGAATCAACATCAATTCAGCTATGTTGCTCCCTAGACAGTTCATACTGATGTGAACTGTAATTTGTTTTTTTTTTCCCTAGTGGTTCAGTTTGCCTGGCATTGCTTGGTATCAATCAAGAAGTGAATTTAAAGGTATAGTATTTCCTCTAATGTGGTTTCCATCCAAGTCATCATCATTGGAGGCAGTGAACTTCGTTTCTGATAAACAAAGTTCAATTTCCTGAACCCCTCTTGTAACAACACAGCTGATCCAATTGTCAAGATTTTTAGTATGTCAATGACTTAGTTTGAGGCAAACTTTTAGTTTTTCTAACTTAAGGTCAGAGCTGGGATGGAGCAAAAATTGATTTGACACAGTTAAGAAAGTTTGGCTTCTTTCCATCAAATTTGATAGTGTGTTTTGAAGCATCCATGTAAGGATAACTACAAATCATAACTTGGGAAGCAGGTGTCCCTTAGCATGTTTACATCAAAAGTTGAGATTTGAGAGATCAAATTAATGCAGTCCATGTAAACCTCCACCTAGCTGAGAGGGTACTAGTCCTCTCTCCTCACAGCATCCCTCATAGGAAGAAATGACAAGATGATGCCTAGAAATACCATCAGGAAGTTGGATGATGCGATCATCATTGATTTAGTGTTGTTTTTTATTTGATTGGTCTCCCTCCATCAGCGGTTTGCTGATGATGATGCTGCAACTTTAAGCCAACAGTAGAAGAGAGAAATGGATCGATATTGCCAAGGAATTATGCTTAATTAAGAAGCTAACTTAGGATAGGGTACTTCCCAATTAGAATGTCCATGGGACCAGGCTTTTAAGCCCGCCAGCTCAAAATTTTTGTTTTGTTTTACTTCAATTGGAGTAAAAAGGGAAGATAGATTTGAACTTAAATCTAACAACGCATGATTTAGTGGTAGAGTTCTTGAAGTTTTCCTCCACCGTTGATAAGCTTATTTGCCCATTTACAATCAATGAATGTTCTTGGCAAGAACAAAATCTTGTCTTCTTCCTTTGCTTTCCTTGCTTTCAAAACGTTCAGAGTGATTTTATGTCCAGGTAATTTGACCAGATGATCAGTTTCAGAATCTTCATGTAACGCATGCAGAAGGGGGCTCCATGCCATGGCAGAAAATGCCATGGATGATCCAAGTCAAGGGAAAAAGGGTATGTTTCCAATAAGAAACGAGAGACATGACATTCATAGAAGGAGGTTCTTTCTGAAAGAATTTTTAACCAATTTCGACTGAGTAACTGTTTACCAGCTAAGCAGAGATCAGCCACTTTAACGCTTAAGAATGCCTTGCTTCAGTCTAGAGCAGTATACCTTTAAACGTGACCATTTACATGCTATATTTGCTGTAGCAATCCAAAATTTTCAAGCATAGCACTCTGAAATGAAATAAATAAATAGTAGTCCTTTCTATTTGAATCCTGCTTCCTACCTTCAACCTTCTTAGTTCCCATCCCTGCAATAAAATATTTTATTCATTGCCATGCACTATCCCCAGACTCCCAGAAATAATGGCATCCTAGTCATTCTTCTCGTGGCAATGTGTTCTTTTGCAGCTATGGATTCTACAGATGCTGCTGTAAGTCTGATCATTCTTCTCAATCTTCATTGTTATATTATCTTTATTTATCTCATTGCATTTGGCACGGCAACAAATGTTTAATTTACTAACATAAGATTCTGCCATATAATTCTCAGTGGCTAAATCATGGGGGTGACTTAACTAACAGGAGGTTTGCTTCTGGAGAATTATTACTCAACCCAGCAATGGTCAGGAATTTGGCATTAAGATGGGCATTCTATGCTGGCAAAGACATATCAGCAACTCCAGCAGTTGCCAATGGAGCAGTCTACTTCCCGTCATGGAATGGATATTTGTACGCAGTCAATGCATTCAATGGTGCTCTAATATGGGAGCAGAATCTTGGTCAGCTAACTGGACTAACTGGCACTGGAGTTGTTGCAAATGTTACAGTCTCAAGATCAACCCCCACAGTTGATGGGGACCTCTTGATTGTAGGGATATACGGACCAGCAGTAGTGATTGCTGTATCCCGATCAGATGGGAGACTTGTTTGGTCTACTATACTAGACCCTTGACCCCGGGTTCTGATCACAGGATCCGGAACAGTTTACATGGGGTTAGCACCTTTAGAAATCTGCCCTTCCAGTGTTTCTCATTTGTTAGGGTTTATTATCTATTTACGTATTCGATTTTCCGGTGGGGCGTTCTATGTCGGAGTATCATCCCTGGAGGAGGGATTACCACCAGAGCAATGCTGCACTTTCAGAGGCAGTGTCGTAAGGCTGGCTCTCCGAACCGGGGCAATCCTATGGAAGACCTATATGCTTCCAGACAACGGAGGCAGACTGGGAGGTTATGCAGGAGCAGCAGTATGGGGAAGCAGCCCTGCTATTGATGTAAACAGGACGCTGGTTTATGTGGCGACAGGGAACCTCTACACAGCTCCCGCCGAAGTGCTAA